TACTGAAATCCAGTCAGGTTACATCTACTGCTGCTGTGCATCTAGAATATCATCAGTTTTATCAAAGACAAACATTGGACTAGACTGGCACATTTTACCTTTAGGAGCCCAAGCTGCAATTTATACCATTCTCCAATTAGTGCCATGTCTTTAGTCAGCCATTCCTGAAAATCTGTTCAAGGCTTTGCACATTATGGAAGTCAGATTTAAAAGACCTGCAGTTACCTGGCTCACTCCCGCCTTCCCTTCTTAAATACAGGTATTTACTATTTTTCAGTCACATGGTACTTGCCCTGACAGGGTAGATTTAATAAAATAATTGCTACCTGACCTGTGATTTCCTATGCCAGAACACTGGGAAATCAATTATCTGATACCTCTGATGCAAAAAACTACAGCTCTTTTAGGGTTTGGGATTTTTTCGGATGTGGCGACTATCTTTTCCACTCCAGTTCCAATTAGTATTATAATCTTGCCCCAGGATTGAGCATCATTATCCTTACTAAAATTTGAGGCAGAGTGTTCATTTAGTTTCTGAGCTGTATCTACATTATCTTTAATCTCTACCTTATACTCATGGCACAGCTACACTGAAACCACTAAACTAGCTCAAGACCATAAAAGCCAGACCACTGAAAGCAAAAATCTACTAGCTGCTGTAGGGCTTATAAACAACATGGTAACAGGTGTCTTAGATGTTATACTCATGCTCTCTACTGAACTTATCAGTTTCCTTAGATCTGACACAGGCTCCTTACAGCTGGAGAAAGAGAGCAACTGTTATATAAACCCTGTTTGCTGAAACCAAAAATGTTTTTTGGGGGGCAGTGGGGGAAGAGACCCCTTTTCTCAAAGCAACAAGGCCACTTTCCTCTATATCTTTTTTTTTTTTTTTTTTTTTAAAATCCCGGGGGTTTTTGCCCAAAGAAAAAAAAAAAAAAAGGCCCTTTTCCCTTTTTTTTTTTTTTTCTTTGGGCAAAAACCCCCGGGATTTTAAAAAAAAAAAGGCCCTTTTCCCTTTTTTTTTTTTTTTCTTTGGGCAAAAACCCCCGGGATTTTAAAAAAAAAAAGGCCCTTTTCCCTTTTTTTTTTTTTTTAAATACTCAGAGGTTTCTGACACTAGAGCAAAGTAAAATGAAAATAAAGAGCCAGATTTTGTTTGCTGCCTTTGGGCCTCCTATATCCTGCTTAGCCCCTCTGAATAGCAGCCATCAAGGGCTACAGTGCTGGGCAAGAATTGCTGAAAAACAGCAAAATGTGAAGGCGTCTCCTTCTCCCCCCTCCCAGCACTAATTTTACAAGGTAAGAGTCCAAAGTATTACCTTTCTGCTTTTGAGCAGAACCTGGTCCATTTGAATAAACACTAGTCTCAAGCCCCTGCCACACTAGATATATTATACAATGAACTGGTTAACCGCACAACAAATTTAAACCAGCCACACATGCAAAGTAATTATCATACCATAAACGTATCTATCCAGCTATAAAGAGAACCAACCAGCTACAAAGTTAGTGCTTGAAAATATGTAACAATTTTATAGCTGGTTTCTGTGCAGCTTGATTTTGAACCAAGGCAGGGCTTTCTGTTTGCAACAGCAGATTCAAGAGAGTTGCACAAGTGCAGCTAAGAGCTACATTCAGTCAATTAATATGTGGTTTGTAGACAACTGAACTTCCTGGTACAGTTTGTCAGAAATTCATTTTTAACATGGATTTTTACTGAAACAGAAATTTCTGCCATAATTGTCCAATTTGGAATAAATATTGTTTTTTTTACCCCAGTGGAGAAGTTTGGGGGCGGGGGAGAGAAAAAAGGTTAGCTAACAATGTTCTTTTAGCTAGTGAAACCAAAGATTTTGCCCAGGCATTAGATTTTAGTTTTAAGCAATTAAAAATATTAAATGCAAGTTTTCCCATTTGTTATTTTTTGGGGGAAAGTCTTTTGTACAGGCATGATCACAAAACATGTTGATGGGCACGTTTACCAGGAATAAAATAGGACCAGTTGTACAACGTTGCTACAATACCAATGTAACACCAAATTGTGTCCTGCTCACCTTAAAAGGAGTAGCAGAGCCACAGATCTCAAGGGTTAAATAGGCCATGATGCAGACTGAAATTAAGTCTTGCAAAGATTTGCATTTCAGATTTGCTCCCTGCATGACAGATGTGAGGACTCTGCAAAGAAAAATACAAGGACTTTGCCTTAAAAATACAATTTTGAAACAAAGCAAAAACTACTGATTTGAAATGAATTTAAAATCAGCAGTAAAGCTCCAGCATACTACTCCAAACATGAGATGTTAAATGTTTCCTGTGTACTAGAAGCCAGTCAGACCTTTGGGACAAAATACATATTTTGCAATTAACAACATCATTACTCAGTGTTCACAACTTACCTTCAGGCAATAAACAATATAGCTGCTGAGGTGAGCATGTAAGAAGCATAGAACAGAATTGGATCTACAGCCAAGCCAAATTAAGTGCTCTAGGGTGTTCTGTTTCATTGTACAAAAATGGAAAGTGTTTATTCAAATCCACAATGAAAAATAAATATTCTCATCTCTTTAGACACCCATCCTTGATTTTTCAGTGCACATAAAATATTTCCTTTGTATGCATTTAAGATAGAAGATAAAGCACAGAATATTAGCTTTCCAAAGCACTGCATAGAGGATCAGCTACACAGTCTGGACTGACTTCAATGGAGCTCGACTGTTACACCACACCCAGATGTGGCATTTTTTTCATGTTTACCATGGGGGATATTGGCTTATGCCTAAGGAAGACTAAATGAGTGCACAGTATGGACAAGTGTAAAGTATGCCAATATAGTATTCAGAGGGGGCAGTTTCTGATATGATTTATACTTGTGTAAATTCTAAGCATTTCTGAGGCCAACTGAGAACAGAATTTAGCCTTTTTAACACTCGAGCATGCTGGCCTAAACATTTGCGGCAATGAAAGAATACCTGTTTAACTGAGAACAAGATCAAACCCATTTCCACTGGAGATAGGCCTGAAACCCAAAAACAACCCAAACACTGTCAAACTTTAGAAATGTTAGGATTTAGATTCAATGAGCAATCTTTCAATGTAGGTCCCTCTCTAGATATTAGCAGGAGTGGGGGTAGGGCTGCCTCTTATAGCGCAGCAGACTGTTGATAGACTCGCTAGTGCTACTGCTGGTTTTCTAACCTAGTCAGATGATCAATGCTGATTAAGAGACCCCTGACTCTCTAGTGCATTTTCTTTCTGAAACTCTTTTGTTCAGAGAGCTCAAGCTGGAAAAAAAGATACCTGCCAAAAAGTTGTATGCATGGTACCAAAACTTAAAAATTATGTCCTATGAGACAGGTGCAGAGGTTCTTTCTGCATCAGCACTGCAGAATCAGGACTCAAAACCTAGTGAAGTCCAGATTCCCTGTTCACTGCTACTTTTTCCTTACAGTTCTTTTTTGACCTGGAAAATTTAACAGCTTTGAATATGTACTATTTCACATATGTATTTTTTTTTTTTTTTTAGGGAGACCATCATAAATGCAGACTCACAGACTGTCTCTTTGTGGTTTGGGAAGTGTTAGTCTGGAAGCAAGTTCTTCTTGCCTCTGAATGGTGAACAAAACCGTAGTTTCATAGTAGTTTGGGGTCAGAAGGGACCCTGAACAGATCACCTAGTCTGACCCCCCACCACTGGCAGAAGCACATGCTGGGATCACACAACCCCAGACAGAGAAGTTATAAGGAGTCAAAAAAGAGGACAAAATGATTTATATATGTACATCAATATTTTTGGAGACAGATGTAACATCAGTTACAGAGTTCTAAATTCTAGGCTCCCATATGAATAAGACTTTTCACAGGCACATTAGCTAAGAGGAAATGGCAATTATCAGGCCTCATGCTTCAGGAACTGCACATAGGATTAGAAGAACTTCCCCTGCTAGGGGACAGCATTGGAAAACTAAGATAATGAATATTTTTACAGTCTCTACCACTGGACCATAATTGCCTGTTGCAATATAACAATTACTGCATTGATTTAGTGACTACAGCTCACCTAATGAGAAAGAGAATATTATAAAAACAAGATCAGCAAAATTACCTCATCTAGACTATAGGAAGGCTCTGTGCTCACTTTTCTTCCTATTCGCCCCCTATATTCCCTACCTGTGCTCACTGCTGCTCAGTCAACATCTTGTTAAGGTGCACATGTACAAACATTTTAACCTCAAAGTTCTGTGCATGGCCTGCCTATCATGGTGGGGAGTGTTAAGCAGCAACCTATTTTCACTCTCACTTTCTGTGCTGTTCTCTGCCTGACAATGCTAGGACTTTAAAAACTGTTTCAAATGAAGCATAGACCCTTTAGGCTGAGATCCTGACCACACTGACATGAATTAAACTACTGCCATTAACTTCAGGAATGGGAGCAGGGGTGCAGAATGTTACCGTTATTGTCTTTTATGTCTTTTAAAAGCTGGATGGGAGATGCTGTTGTATTAAGGTTAGTGTAAGAAATGATAATATAAGGAGGTGCCATTGCACAGCAGGAAACTACAGTCTAGGGTTTGACCTTCATTTACAAATTTTTATCACTGCTTTAGCCAACCATACTTCTGCAGTTTTGGGGTGTGGCTTGCTGTAAGCTAACAATGATTTCTAGATAACATTACCTAAAGACTTCAGTCAACACTGGATTAGGGTGTAGAAGTGCTTATCTGCTGATCAGCAAGATAAGCTTATTATGCTTAATGTCTGGGGATTCATAGTATTAGCTAAAAGCAGCTTGAAATCTTTGGGAGAAACAAAAAACGAAAAAGAAAAAACAAATTTTATGAAAGTACAGCATGGCTTTAATCAGTTTTCTTGATTGTATGGAAATTTGACATAAGGAAGCTTTGTTTCTCCAAAAATTCCACTTGTATTTAAGAGCTTACCAAATAAAAAGGCAGTTAGCATTCTCTGATATTTAACTAACACTTGATTTTCTGTCACAGATCTATTTTTATCAGGATGGACAGTCGTATGAATATGGAAAGTTTCAGAATAGAATCACAGCTGCAACAAACCCAGGAAATGCATCAATAACAATCTCTAACATGCAGCCCTCAGATACAGGCCTCTATAACTGTGAAGTTCTCAACCTACAAGATCCAAATAGACAGAACCAAAAATCAGTGGTCGTCAGGGTACTAGGTAATTTATCTTTTCATTCTGTTTGCTATATTGTAGCATTGCTGCTTTACTGCATGGTGTCAAATTCAGGCTTTAAAAATGCTCTAAGGGAAATACATGATTGGGGGTGAGGTGGCATGGTTGGGGGTACAGGGAAATTAGCACCCAAGAACAGTGGCTGGCAGTGCTTTTTGGTGGTGGGCTAGAATAACTCAGCTCAGGTCTAAGGACATTGCTGCTGTGACTTCTCCCTGCCACCTGGCTGGGGCACTAGGGAAGCCTCCTACCAACAGAACAAAGACTCCTGGTTCTGCAGGCTGAATCCAGTCCACACGCTGCAGATTCCCAGTGTGACTTAGGGACATAAGAAATGCCAGACTAGGTCAGATGACAGATTCATCTAGCCCAGCATCCTCTCCTTTACAGTGGCAGAGACTTCTTGGTCTATTAGCATAGCATGTTCTCTGGAAATGTATATTCCTTTACTTGGTGATATACTAAAACACTCGAAGTAAAGAAGCAGGACTTGTTTCTAAATTGACACCAAAGAAATTATTCTTGTATATCCAGAACCTGTCCTGGTTTTGAGCTCCCAGAAAAGCCAAACACCATCTGAGCTGCCTCCTCTTAGCACATGGAATCTCTCAGTCCTGACCTGGTCATCATTAAAGCAGCCTTTAAAATCATTTAGAGTTAGGCCTGTCTACAGCCAATATGGACAAGCATAACCACTGCTTCCAAATATTACTTTTGGGATAGCTGGGCCTGGGTTTTAGAGAAGAGACCAACATTTTAAGACTTGAGACACTAAAGTAGCTGTGTAAATCAGGCCAACCGTGAAGTCAGTTTTAGGCCTCCACACGTAAAAATATCTGGTATGGATGACTTGTCTAAGGCCACAAGGATGGTCGTTGGCTGAATTTAAGCTGCTTCTCCCATATACTATGAACATTTCTAACACTACCCTTCTATTAAAAACAAATCACAAGACCCCTGGTCACAAATTGAGCTCTGTTCTGTGTTTTGTGCAGCCCCAACATCAAGGGGAAGAAACCAATTAATTCAACTATTAACAAATAGCTAAACAAGTATGAAAAGCAATGGAACGGGACAAATCTGACTTGCTAGCAAGACAGATGTTAGTACCGGCCTCACCTAACAACTCTCCACCTGCTCTGTAAATAGATGAGTGGTCTGTTTGGCTAATAAACCAATGCCCAAGCAAGGGCATATTAGAAAACTGTTCCAGCTGTAGCATTTGCCTATCCAGCACAGACCAAAAACAAACCCGAGATGGAAAGAAATGCACAGGAAAAAAAAAAAATTAACAGCATGGATATTAAAAATGTCTTTAAAAAGAACATTTGCAAATATTACTGCACTGCATAATAATAATGAACATATATGCAAGTATGACTCATGACTTAAATAGGATATTGTAGCTATCACTTGAAAGAAAGAAAAAAACCCACTCCTGTAGGAAAAAACTGGACCATGTGTATCCCAGGTGTAATTCTACCGCAGTTAAGCTACAGACCTATTATAATATGCGTAAATTGAGTTAGAATTAAATGGACAATACAACCAAGCTAACTGGGGGGGGGGCAGACCTGTGAGCTATCCGTTATATTGGTAGAAATCCAGAACATCATTCAAGTCTATTAATCAATCCTAGGTTTATACAGACATAGCAACTGATGTTTGGTCTAGCAGAATTCTAGCCCAGAATTTCTAACTATGATGTATTTGCATTTTCTGCTGTTATTTTACAGTCAAACCTTCACAGCCCCTCTGCAATATACAGGGAACACCTGAGTCCGGTCACATTTCTCTTGCCTGTCATTCACAAGAAGGGATGCCTCCTCCTACATACCAGTGGCAGAGACTGTCAGGGAATACCATCAAACCTGTGAAAGAACAATACAGTGAGTAACCACAGAGGGCCAGTTTGGGACATTAAAAACTGGGTGTGTGATAGCCAATCTCCATACTCCTTTCTGTATACAGCATAGAGAGCAGGTCTGTCCTTGTATGCTCCAAAATCACAAATCTAAATTTATTTTGACCTACCAAAATTTACTAACAGCCATAAAAAATGTGCTGTCTTTGTGTTCTTGATTGTTGGAGAAAGTATTGCCGATTGTTTCAAAACGTTTTGAAACGTGTATCAAAAAAATCATACTTGTAATAACTACCTTTATAATATTAAGATAGTTTAATTCTTTACTTCTCCTTCACCTTGGAGATGAAATAAAACTTAACTCAATTTGTAATATCACATTTGGAAAGCACATAAGCATATGTAAAACTTTACCCACAGAAAAGGTCAGTTGACTTCAATATTAATGATCTGAGTAAAATTAGACACCTGCTTCTATGTTTTCAGGATAGAGGCCTAGTCTTCAAACACTAATGCAGATTTGTCTGTAAAATGTTGTAATGACTGTTTTCAAGGAAGATATGCAGTTTTTAAAGAAAACCCTTAATTTAAATGTTGTTGTAGCTGTGATAGTCAAGGAAATGACCAAAGCCTTTGATGTCACTGCCCAAATGTCCAGAGTCTTTGGAGATTTCAGACATTAAGTGTCCTTCCTCAGGTGACACTGATGCATGAAAGCTTGATCAACAGCTCTCCTAACTATAGTTAGTCCAGTAAAAGATACCACAAAAAATACCTTACCTCACATAAATGAAGTAACAAATTTATGATACAAACCTCTTAGCTTATCTTGTAATAGTTATCGCTCTTATTCATGTCTTAATAATTGATTCCCTCAATACCACACATGCATGAATTTATGTGCATAATTTACCTGTCACAGATCCAGAAACTGGGCTGCTTATTATTGGAAATCTCACCACCTTTGAAACAGGATACTACTACTGCATTGCCAGTAACTTCCTGGGAAACAGCAGCTGTCAACTTGACCTGACTGCAACCCGTAAGTTGAACATATACCAAAGTCATTTCTGTGCAGCATAATCAGTATGGCAATAAATCCTCACTTTTTAAAAAGGTAGATTACTTTGAAATAAGAATGGGCTGGCTGGTAGACAGGAGTTCCTGAGTTCTCACCCCAGCTCTTACCAAGGAATTGTAGGGATTTAAGCAAGTCAGACTGCATGATTCAGCCTGTAAAATGGCATTGCTAACATATATTTAGCAACATACCTTCCAAGGGTATTGTGAGGATTAATTAACATGTGCAGCTACTTTGAGCATACAAAACACTACACAAATGATGATGTAATGGAATATCTCTGGCTATGTCTTGGACTGAATCCAAGATTTCTTGGCTTAAAACAGCTTGAGTTTCTTCTGGTTTAAAAGGCACAGCTTAGACCGAAGGCTGCATCAGCCCCATAAATTTTCATGAGGTATGGTCAGTGAGTAAGCATGAATTATGCAAACCCCTGGCTGGGAAAAACTGGTCTTTAACATCAGAGATCAACTCCAAATAAATAGATGTCCAGTTCAGCCGGCATTCCATACCGCTACATCCTTTGGTAAATAACAGGCATTAGGAATGGAATGTGGAACTTCTGACTTAAAAAAAAAACCCCAAGAACCTCTGACTAGCTTTGATCAAACAGACCTAGATCTTGGGTCTACTTGCTTCACAATGACATCCCTATGCACTCTGCTCTGACTAGAGCATTTCAGTGATGTTTGTAGAGTTGTACAGCAATGTACTGGTGTGACACTAGAATACCTGTGGCCAACCAGAGCTGCGTGTAAAATGTTCACTAAGTTAAATCAATACAATTGAACATTTTGGAAACCAACCAATAGGCCTTGAAATGATTCCTCTCTTACTTGGTGGTCTCTTACCTGAAAAATTTGCCTTGGAAAAGGAAACGGACAGGGAGAATGTTAACTTTATTGTTTGCAACTATTTCTTCATGAAAAACAAAAATCGCATCCAGCGGGATCACAAGTGGTCAGAGGATCAACCCAGAACTAAAGCACCAATGGCAAGGGTCAGAGAGCAAACAATATTGTCAAACAGTAAGACAAGCATCCACTCATCTTCCTCTGCTGAGCTAAAACTAGCATTATGGGGTCATACACCTAACAGCAAGGGGTCAAAACACAGCAAAAAGCTGATTTTCTCTCTCCTATATGATTTTCCTTTCTTGGAAGCACACACTCTAGATCTCTTCTTTCCATCTACTATCTCCTTGACAAGTTTATTACTGTATCAATGATGCCTTAAAATTAATGTTGTGCATGTGCTTCTTGTCAGACTTGGAAGGAAGCATCATTGCTGGAGCATTAATTGGAGCAATACTGTTGACAGCTGTTATCTTCATTATTGTCTGCGTTTTAACCAAAAAGGAGAAGAAAAAGAGAAAAGAGAAGGCAACAATTAATGAAACACAGTAAGAATTTCCATTTGCTTGATTCTGAGGCAAGCATTCCTATCAAACCCTCTAAAGCTGTGATGGGAGATGTGGATTCAAAGCATTACTTACAGGCAGCTAATATCTCTTTGAGGCTAAATAATACCCCATTATTACACAGGTCTATCACATAGCAGTGTCTGAAAAACTACAGGCTTTATTTTCTTAAGTAATAAGGGAAAACAGTGACACCTTGGAAAAGCAGCATGTGAGTTAATTCAGACTTGATAGAAGTCAGTGGAGGGCAGGTAGGAGTTTGGTCAAACACAACAGAACTGCACTTTGGATTCAGACCAGTGGTTTTCAACCTGTGACCTGCAGACCCCTTGAGGGTCTACAGATTATGTCTAAGGGGTCCGTGAAAGATGACTATGATCAATGAAAAGTACATGAATACTCACACTTAGAAATCAAATGGTTTTGCACCGCCATTCAAATTTCCAAAGGAGTCTGCACCTCCATTCCAAATTTTTTAGGGGTCTGAAAATTAAAGAAGGTTGAAAACTACTGATCGAAACAAAGGAGACCTGAGCTTTATTCTTGTTTGACCTTGGACAAAGCTCTCACTCTGGCAACAAACACATTTATCCCAGGAGAACCATTTTTCCCGGAATAAAGTGTGATCATTCAGATGTCCGTGTTCTAGGAAAAACCCTAAAAAACTTCATGGCGTAAGAGGTGCTAAGCTAGGTCCAGGGTATCACAATGCATCTAAATCGCTGGCCAAGTTTGTATAATTGAATCAGTAGCAGAAAAACAGCTGCTCTCTAAACTCTGACTCTGTGTGTGTGTGTGTGTGTGTGTGCGTGCCAGCGCGCACATACACGTGTACATATATATATAAAACCCTTCTGGTCAGAGTTTAGAGAGCAGTTGAATGAACTGCTGTTTTTCATATTATATACATATACATATATGTATGTCACAGTTCATCAACTGCTCTCTAAACTCTGACCAGAAGGGACAGGGACACATACACGGTAATCCTAGAACTTTTCTGCTCGAGTACAAATACAGGCACAACTGGTCCTGGGATAAATGCAGTATCTGTTCCTGGCTCCTGTGCTTCAGCTGCCCATCTCTATTATCTTGTCTATTTAGAGTTATCTTCAGGACAGATACTGCCTCTCATCATAGGAGTAATGCCAAGCACAGTGGGACCCTGAGAAGTTTCATGGACCCACATGCAGATATTAGAGCTGGAAGAGATTATTAGGTTGTCTAGTTTGACTATCTGTATAACATGAGGCAACTCCAGGGCTCTGTACTGAACCCCAGAGCTTGGCTAAGGCATCTCCCCCAAAAAGCCAGATAGCCTTGATTAGGACATCAAGATGAAGAAAATCCACTACTCCCCTGGATAAGATGCTTCAGTGGCAGTCGCCCTCACTATTAAGCATTTGTGCTCATTTCCCACATGAAATCAACCTTAACTTCCACCTTTGTGCCTGCTCCTTGTTACTTTTCTCAGCTAGTTTCAAGAGCCCTTTACTACCCCTTATTTGCCATTTGTGAAGCTGCTTATGCATATTAATCAAGTCACTGCTCAGTCTTCTCCTTGATAAACTTAACAGATTAAGTTGCTCAAGTCTCTGTCAAGTATTTTCTTCCAGACCTTAAATAATTGTTGTGACTTTTCCTTCAGCTTTTCTATTTATTCAGTATCTTGTTTTTAAAATGTAGATACCAGAACTGTCTGTAGCATCTCAGCAGACCCAAAGCCATTGGTTAGATAATAGTAAACTTCCAATTCCCATTTACTACTCCCTAGTCTAATTCTCCTCCTGCCTTTCTGCAGGCCGATGACTAAGAACCAACAGACCAATCTGGAATATGCTGACGTCCCTAGCGAGGAAAATATACCTACTGCTGCAGCTCCGCTGACCAACACAACAAACGAGCAGTCTAACCCTGAGGAGGCTACTGCCCCTGGAATACCTGAAAATGAGGAAGTGCAAGGAAGGGAGACGGAAGAAATGGACTAAACTGCCATTGCAGTTTTTCTCACCAGCTCTAGACCTCGGCAGCTATGTTAGTATTGAATTAGTACCGTGAGTAGTGGGGGTTTAAACCCAGAAACCTGCCTTTGTGTTATGAACCAGAAGGCAGGCTTCCAACGAACCAAGAAACGTGTGTATCACAACATACATGTTTAAAATTGATTACTGCATTCACTGTCTAGCAATGGCTACATATAGATATGAATGTAGCATGTCTCTGTACATCCAACCTATTTTAGATTATTAGAATAGTTTAGAAAGCTGCAATTTGTTACCAACAGCCAATCAAAAACATACATGAGGTGTATAAATCCAGAGCACTTGTAAATAGAGGAGTCATTTCAGAAAGGAAACAGTCAGACATCAACAGATAAATGTGAGGTATGCCACAAGCAGAGAACTACAAAAGACCTACCAACTTAGCCAGGACCTTCTAACATCTGAAGACTGGATCTTTCACCTTGGAATCAGTGGGATTTAAAGAACGTAGGAGCAAACCATTAAGTCAGATTCAGTAAAGGACTTCCGCAGAACTTGGGTGCCTTCATCCAAAATCAGAGTCCCAAAAGCCCACACTAAACTTTTGCCTAACCCTGGAGCATCTAAACTTCATGTGTTCCAAAGTTCCCCAAATGGCTGGTGCTGCATCGCCGTATTCATCCCCGTCCTGACAGTTTCTAGCCTTCAGCACTTCAAGGCAAGTTCATGATTGCAACCAATCAGGATCCAGAAATTGGGAAACCATCTAGGTCTCTGCAAGGGGCTCAAGGTGACAAGTGTACAACAAGAAAGTCTAGCATATACTGATAAGATTGGGCTCTTCAAACTGCAGTTTCAGCTTTCACTTTGCTTTGAAATATGTAGGGGAGAGGGGAAATGATGCTGCACCCCTTCTGTATAATTGCCTAGGAAGTAGAAGACCAAAGCTCAGCACCTTGTTCTCCTTGTAGGGATTCAAGTTTCTCTCAATGGGCTAGAAACAGATCCCCTCTTGTAGTTTCTCTGATCCAATAAGCTTTGTTGTTTTTTTCTTTCTGCACCACCGCACAGGATGGGTAAAGTGTGATTTCACCTATACTAGCCTATAGCCTGGTAGGATCAAATACCTCCAGGGAAGAGGGAACTGAGCACTTCCAGTACAGGTGCCCTAAGCCACCACACTATTATATAGAGGCAGGGCTTCCGTGCTCGTGTTCTTTCATACACTGGTTGAGACATCAGCTCAGCATCCCACAGCTGTTTGCAGCATTTTTAAAATGCTGTTGTGCCGTAGTTGAAAATTGAAAAGGACAGAATTCCAACACTACTGAAAGCAATGACACCAGGATTTCACACTAAGATTTCCAGCCCCCTCCCCACCTTTATAATCTCTAAGATGGGGGACAAATTTCAAATTAGTCTCGGCCCTTAATTTTAAATGAAAGCTTGCCCAAGCAAAGATTAAGCCTGGACCTTTTACATTTTCTGTTAAGGGTAACAGGTTTCCTGTAATTACATCTAAACCACCCTGTGAACATGACAGCCTGAGGCATTCAACAAGCTCAGTAGTAAAAGAAAAAGTGACAAGAAAGTACCTCTAACTCATTTTGGCTGCTTGCAAACATTAAATAAAAAAAAGCAGCACTTTACGTTAAACTCAATGTGTTCCCACATAGAGCCTAGCACACGGCCGGAAGAGACAGCATGTTAGTTGAACCTGGTTTGCCTGATGTCTGTATAGATCAGGAGCTGTAGTGGGGCATTTTGGCCCTTGTATCTAATAGCTGATTGAATCAGCTTGAGCTAAAAATCACCAAAAAGCCCTGCTGAAGTTCCTGATCTATACAGAAGCTGCACTGCTGGGCTGAAGTAACGTGATGCTGCTTCCAGTAAAGTGCTTTTTTTTTTTTAGCGTCTGCAAGCAACCTATGTGATATTCCTTATCAAAGGTGAAAGTGCTTGCTAATGAAATATTTCAAGTGAATTACCAGGCAGAGGGAGCCCTCTAGCTGGTTTAAAAATCACATAAACTTAATTAGCAAACACGTCCTTTGCGACTGTGACAGATAAATCCTAGGCACCGTTTTACTCCACCCATCTTGCAAATATATAAGGAATTGTACCAGTGACCCTATTTGTAACCACTTTTTTATTTTGTAAACAACCTCTTTCTTACTAGCATGAAGTCTCAATTACTTTTCTCTTGACTTCCCCCCACCACTTACCCTTTAGTTCTTGTACGCATTCCATAATCATACAGGTTAATACCCCTTTCTTTCTCTACAGCACTTCCTTAATATAGCCAATCGAATTAAGTAATTAAGGCCTACTGAGTTAAAGACATTATTTAACTGTAAAGGAAATAATTCAGATTGTATGCATGTTCCTGAGACTGCTACTGTTACATATTTGCTGAACGTAAAACAGAAAATAAAAGAAAAATGACAGTATTTAACAGTAGTTCTTGGCTAATATGAAGACTAACTTGTGTAAACCAAATCATACTGGGTGATGGGAGTGAGAGAGTAAGGGGACAGAGGGATTTTTTGTGCATTTTACGATATGTAGAGGCCAAATGCATCTTATCTTTCTAGGCAGCATTCCTTTCCAACAATAACTGCTCCATCTTAAAATATTGTCTTTTATAAAGCACAAAGAAAAAATACAATTTACCTTTTATTGAGCATCTTAGCAAATCATGAGCCACATTAATAACCGTGGGCACGTCTATGTGTGCGCTTTACTGCGCAGTAAACTAATTTGCTGCACAATAAAGTGCCACAGTCTACACGTGCACAGCAATTAGGCTGGTATAGACTAATTTACTGTGCCATCAGATAGTACTTGCATCTGATGGGACTATCTGACAGTGGAGTAAATTACTATGCTTAAATGCACGTGTAGACGGCGGGGCCCAGATTACTTTATTACAGCTCAAATTGTGTTGTAGTTTATCCAGTCGCGTTAACTGAACATGTAGACACACTTTATTTGTCCATCACAAACCCATGGATAGCTGTGCGAGTGGCAAGATTAATTTTTCAGAATATACCTTTGAGGTAACAGACAGACTTTGTCGCATGGTCCAATTATTTCCTCCCAAAGAAAAAAAGGACAGTTATGATGTACAGTAGGTAAGATATTCAGTAAGATACAAAACATTATCTCCTGAGGAAGAAAAGGACTAGAGAGAGAGTTGTGGCAATGCTTCTTGCCCTTCACAGATCAACATTGAATACCACCTCCAACACTTAACAGCTCAGGATTTTGACAGTGGTCTCCACTTCTCCAATACCACGGCAGATGCAAAAGTCCAAAACTGACCAACTTGCTGCTTGTATCCCTTTTCCACTTCCAAGGGGCTTTAATGACATCGAATAAAAGTAGCAATACACAGGTGGGAGAAAATACTGTCAGTGGTTATTCAATAGCCTCACCTATCTGTTTTCCTGATCTACTATATTCCATCTACTGGCAAAATCCACAGGGTTTTGATGACTCAATAGATTTTGCTCCTATGTCTAACAACTTTGGGGGCTTTTGAATATAATTTCACTTCTTTGTAAAAAATTACTTACTATTATAGATGCTAAGCAGTTTCAAGAAGTCAAAGGGGGACTTCAAGTTTCAGGCTTCAAAACTGAACATTTAAAAAATGACTATGCATTCTCAGTTACTTTGATTCTACATTTCTCTTCTATGTACTGTAACTCTTAAGAGGGTGCTAGATAGCTCTGAAAAAAGCAGAGGTCTTATGAAACAGAGAGCCAAGACAATAGTCCTCAATTTTGGACAATTTATGGAATTTTATAGCAGGTAAAAAGTGAAAGATAAGAAGCGTAGAAATAATTCTGCCTCTAACCAAAAGCACTGGTTCTCCCCCTCAAGCCATTCTGTATGTCAACATCTTAGTATAGAGAAAGCGGATCTTGCTACATGCTCTTTGAGAACTTAAAATGCATGTTGTTTTCTAGTGTGCACATCACTTTATATACAAGCATTCAACTCGAGAATTTGTTTGGTTACAATTTAATATTTGCTTTCTGTTTGTAGAAAGCCATATCCCTTGTACATAAAGAGTTGAGTTTTACTGTTATTAGTTTTGAATTTTTCCTGTAGCCAAAACACCATTTTATTTGCGCCACCTTTCCGCTATCACTTTAGTCTAGCACTATTTCTGCTGATCTGTTATCTTTATGCCCATATGACATACAGTAGTTTAGCTAATGATGAGATTCCTTTGTTAAATGCAAGTTTAATAAAATATTTGGTGTTACAACAATATTGTTGTTCACTACTGATTCCTTATTTAAAGAAAATTCCCCAGGCAAAAAATAAAGTACAAGCCAATATCTAGTTGTCATTAGTAGTTTCACCAACATCAGTTTAGAAGAAGAAAGATCTCATTTCTTTATGCCAGGTTCTGGTATTCACATATAAATTTGTAGACATTAATCCATGCAAGGAAAGATTCATAGAAAGTTAAGTATAAAACTCTGTGGTCACCGCACTGATGCAACTAGGGGCAAATTGCCTGGAACTTCTATACTATTAGCTTCTTGAATGATAATCACATCAGAAGCCAAAAATACTGAAATAAATGGAAATCACAGTCTGTTTGGTCTTTCCTCTTCATGTTTGGAAAGCCAGTGAAAGACAGTATGCTTTTAGGACAAAGCATGTTAACTTAAATCCATGCTCACGAACAAACATCTTCCAGAGTCAGCCCCGACATTTTTACCTTGCTATACAACTAACCTGTTAAATAAAGATTATCTTGGAAAGTTAATATAAAAATAAGAAGTACATACATGAAGAATGAAAGTATTAACATTTCAGAAAACAGTACGTACCAGAAGTCACAGCAACAGCAGTAACACAAGTTAGATAAAAAAGAGCTAGGAAGAAAAACCGCAATAGGATTCAAGGCAGTACATCCATGGGAAGACCCAACATAGATATTCAGTTGGATGAAAGATGCTCTTAAAAGCAAGCAGGTAAAACAAACCCACAAGAGGAAAGTGAACAGTAAAATTAGATAGTGGTTTGCACAAGACATAGTGGCAAAGGAAAAAGGCAGCGATTATAGGACAGTATCTCAGGAGAGGTACTGTTGGCCTGCATCTGTTACTGCCAAACCTTCACACTGAAGTGCATGATGCAGATTAAAGAACTAGACAGACCCAACAGTAACATTTAGAAATAAAAGTATTCACAAATAAGCCTAAAGAAGTGAAGAATGAAAAAAAAGATGCAAACATATAAGAACAGTCTAAAAAGAAAAGGAATTATCTTTAGCAACCTGAAACGAAATAAGAATTGGATTAAAACCATAAAAGAAAAAAGTTAAATAAAAAAAAGCATGTTCAGAGTATGGAACAGACATCAAGAGCAAACAGAGTTTAAGTGGGTCAAGCAACAGGACAGAACATGCCACAAAAAAGCCTTGTACTAGAGACTGGGGGAGGGAGGAAAGAGGCAGTGAGGAACCAAAAAAAGAAGAAACAACAAGGATGACCTGATAGGATCTTTTCAAGTCTAAATTATAAGAGCCATAATGACTTCAAGTGAAACAAAAATGCAGAATACTGAAAATACTTTAAAAACTGCTGACTGATTTAATTACTAGTGAGGGAAGTAGGTTGGCGGTACAAATGGAAAAAGTGTAGGTTTATACAATTATCTGCATTATAATCTAGGCCATCACAAATAAGACATAAAAATATTAAAGTTACAATCTTAAATATGAGTGCATCAGGAATGGAATTAGAATAATATAAAAGCTCAGACAACAGTTAGCCGTCCACCATTTTCTTAAGTATGGCTCCCAGGCCACCTTTTGCCACCTTCAATGGGGTCATTTCTTCTTTATTCTCAATGTAAATACTTGAGCCATGGGACACCAACAACTTTGCCTCATCCACTCTCTCTTCATCACAGGCTAAATGGCTGTAACAAAAAAAAAAACAAGAAACCCACAATCACTGCCAATCTACTGAGCTTATAGCATCAGGCCCTAGGAAGTCTACAGAGAGCCACAATTATAATGCCAGGAATGTCCCCAGAAAGTCAAAAGAGAACAACGATGTGCAACTAACCTAAAATAAACCCTTACCGCCTGTTGCCCAGTCTCTTTACTGCCATTAATAACTTCCTAAGAGCTTTTCTGAGGATAATAGATGTCAAGATGAAGGCCTTCACTTTAGCCCTAGACATTAGCCTTGCTGAGCACCAGTCAACTTTGGAGAAGTCAAAGAGTTCCAGTTTGTGAGCCTGAATTACACGAAGGCCTCAAGAAGGAACCAAACTAAAATTATGGGACCAGGATCTCATTCCTCAGTTATTTATAAAAGTACATTTTGTGTTGGGATACAAAGGTTTAGCTATATTGTTTGATATCTCAAGACATTTAGAGGTTTCTACAGTGAACATTTTTTTTTCAAACAGGAAAGAAAACTGCAGTTGTGCCAAGTCAAAGAGCATTAGATTACTTTTTTTTAAAGTCTTACTTGATGTTACTACATTATAGAAAGCAAAAATTAAATAATTCCCAAAACATTAAGTGTGAAATCTTACCCCCCCTGGAGTTGATTAGAAATCTTCCAACTAACTTCATTGGGGC